CTCAACACTGTAAAAGGGAATTGTATAGATGAAAATTATTACACAATGTAATACTGCTATTCACAATTCAGTGTGACATTCAGAAATCACTTATTCCTGGATTTTGTTTAAAGTCAGTGCCATTCTGTAAATTTGAAGGTGTCCACTTAATCATTTGAAATCAAAAAGCTGCTTGAAGAGTTGGCAAAATGATATGCAAGAAATATGGGCACTTAATTTATATTGAACTCCCATCTTAGCTTAACTCAGTTTTACAAATCCTCTTGGGGAAGGATCTACTAGTTTTGTTGGAGAAAGGTTAATCAACTATTGTTCTTTTGTGCACCATCACTAAACTAACGCAAATAAAATTTAACACTTCATTTGGAATATGACTTCAGATTATGCTGATCTCATTTGAAATTTAACTGTATTAAACTGTTTGAATTAAAGAGTGATACAGTATTGAGGATTCAGTTCCAAATATTGGCATGGGCTTGAATCATTTTGGGATTCTAAATTTCTGAAAAGGAAATAGAAAAAGTACATGTGAACATTACTCTCAAATTAATGCAAATAAATTCCTTAGATATGTTTTACATTTATGCCTTAATACTCATTTTTGTTGTTTAGGTAGAAATGTTATCTAAAATCTTTCATACAGATTTCAGCATATTTTTGTAGTACATAAAATGTTACTTATTTCTTTGCTTTTGGGAAAGTCACTTTTAGTTTCATAAATCTATTTCTAATAAGTTGCCTTCTAGACCATTTCTTAGTTTTTGGGAGATTACTGTTGGTATAGTACAGTACAGAAGTACCCTAAATACTGTAGGTTCATTCATAAGCTTGTATGCATCTCCTTTGGATTCCTGCCTCCTCAAATAATGTCTCATAAATGCTTTGGAAATTCCACTCCTTTTCACAAGTAGTTTGCCATGCAATATTTGGGGCTGATGTTCAACAAATCCAAAGCATACTTAAATAATTATATGATAGCTCAACTCAGATCATTGGCCAGTATATGTTAGAAATATCTCTGGTTTGAGATGGGCGACTATACAAATCAAATAAATAAAGGGAAGAAAAATACAAATTTTCACATAGCATGGTAGCAAACATGAAATCACCATTTATAAAACTTCATATAAGAGTTCTCTTTCTAGTGCATTCTACATTCTTAGACAAACATACTTTTTAAAAAGGTAATAATCAGCTTGAAGGCTTTTTCTTGGCATTTCTGAGAATACTTTTTAAAAAATAATAGGTTTGTTAATATAAGCTTTCTAGATTGAGTTTTTTTTAAAAACTCAATTTCCTGATAAAAGAAGTAAGCTCAAATTACAGTTGCTTTACATCATTAAATTCTAACTTTATTAAATGAATGCTTACTCCAACAAGGAACATAGTTACAGAAGGCTATTTATAGAAGTTTTCTTCATTTTTAATGAAATACATGAAATAAATTGTACCTTTGAACAGATTAGTGCTATGTAAACACAGTGTGAATATTTTGATGTGCATTTAAGATGTGCATGAGTTTATACTACAGATGAGGTAAGTCATGTATCTTTCCAGTCATTTATATCTTAAGAATTGAAGTGTTTAACTTTATTATTTGTCTAATTTATAACAAAGGTTATAGAAGAGGCTTTATAGTTTGATAGAATATGCAAAGGAAACACATTGAAGATAATGTTAACGAAATTAAGGATAATATAAGGTTAAAAGTTAAAGATAACGCTAAAGGTATTAAGGAAATGTATTAAACTAGGAAGTATTTGTCTTACAAAAAAGTATCAGCAGATATATTTTCTATGCTATGTGAAGTATCTCATATATTTAATTAAATACGTTTTAATAGAAATAAAATTCTAAAAAGGCAAAGGGAGACCAGAAGCCATGACAATCTAGATTAGCATTTCTCATTTTAATTGTCACAGATTACTATTTATTGGAACTTGAAATTTCCCAAAGCACATTTTGAAATTAAGTTGATAATTTCATAAAAAATAGGTAACAATTCCCAAATACCAGGGATTTTCTTTAAAAGCAGGTAAACCGAAATTTAATTGAAAGTGATTAATGCATTCATGAATTGGTTATTGATGTTAAATCTATTCCTGAGTCAGAAGTGGTAAGTACTAGGAAAAGACATTTTGAAACCTTTCAGAGTAATTCAGATTCTCTGGTACAGATTAGGGTTTAATACCTTATCTTCATACATATCCTTGCATAGCATATCAAGGAAAAAAGAGCTCATTCTTTTTTCTCACTTTGCTTTATAGAAGAATTTCCCATCTGGCTTTTAAGTCTGGATGCAGTCTTTGTATAAATTCCTTTCAGACATGGTAAACAACCAAACCATTCTTTTCTCGGTTTTCAACATTTTATTTCCTAAATATCCTACATATTACTTGCACATTCCTTTTCAGACTGAGCCCAATATTGCAACTGTAACTATCAGAAAACTATTACCCTTTTTTCTTTCTCATACAGTTCTATACCTCATGTTATAGCCAAATACAGGGGGGCAAAAAAGTGTTTAGTCAACCACCAATTGTGCAAGTTCTCCCACTTAAAAAGATGAGAGAGGCCTGTAATTTTCATCATAGGTATACCTCAACTATGAAAAATTCATCTCAATACTTTGTTATATATCCTTTGTTGGCAATGACAGAGGTCAAACGTAATTTTCATCATAGGTATACCTCAACTATGAAAAATTCATCTCAATACTTTGTTATATATCCTTTGTTGGCAATGACAGAGGTCAAACGTAATTTTCATCATAGGTATACCTCAACTATGAAAAATTCATCTCAATACTTTGTTATATATCCTTTGTTGGCAATGACAGAGGTCAAACGTAATTTTCATCATAGGTATACCTCAACTATGAAAAATTCATCTCAATACTTTGTTATATATCCTTTGTTGGCAATGACAGAGGTCAAACGTAATTTTCATCATAGGTATACCTCAACTATGAAAAATTCATCTCAATACTTTGTTATATATCCTTTGTTGGCAATGACAGAGGTCAAACGTAATTTTCATCATAGGTATACCTCAACTATGAAAAATTCATCTCAATACTTTGTTATATATCCTTTGTTGGCAATGACAGAGGTCAAACGTAATTTTCATCATAGGTATACCTCAACTATGAAAAATTCATCTCAATACTTTGTTATATATCCTTTGTTGGCAATGACAGAGGTCAAACGGCCTCTCTCATCTTTTTAAGTGGGAGAACTTGCACAATTGGTGGCTGACTAAATACTTTTTTGCCCCACTGTATAACTCAGATTGCCTTCTGGCATATACTGAAGCATGAAACAAAATCATACTAATTGTTCAGATTCACACATTGTACAAAGTGGATTATTTTTGGCTTAGTACAATGTGTGAACAGAGCCACTGTAACCTGACAATGTGTGAACTGAAATGTTACAGCTAATTCAATAAACCATGATTTTAAAATCCCAACTTTGCACAATGTGTATTCAGACAATGTTTAAAGAGTTAGGAAGGTTTTTCCCATCACTTCTAGGGAGCGGTTATGGGGTATTAATAATAAAGCCTCTTTGTAGCATACCTTTCTTTAGCTTCAGATATGCAGATATGAAATAATCCTATGCTCTACTTAGATAAATATATTTGCCTGATAGTGAGTCACAGTAGTTCAGTGCTTTGAATGAAACCATGGAGGATAAGTCACTGGAGTACTTTCTGAAAGGCCAACAAATAAAACTCTCTGCTCAACTCGTTCCCAGTACTGTGGGGAATTTGTTCATGGAAAGTACCATTTAAAATATTAATATGACAAATTAAACATAAATTAAAGCTGTAATTTATCAAAGTGATGGGTAGTCATTTGCCAGATGCTAATGTGTGTGCAAGAGATGTTTGCCATCTGTATAGTTTTGCTAATTAGGAGATTGTTGCTACACTTCTATTCGTACTTTTAACAAAAGTAAAGCAGCAGGGATGTAATAATTACACACATGTAGAAAAGATAGTTTAGAAATAAAACTAAAATGGAAACATGAAGTTTCATATTTTAAATAAAGCACAATGGAACTATAATACTGCATGAATAATACAAATATGTTCTTGATTGCAAAAATTCCACATTGGTTAATTGAATCTGATATCCAATTTTCTCCAGCGTTAAGTACAACCACTGATTCCTCTTAAAGCAAATGCACCTTGATAATATATATTTCCTAGTCATATTCATAGTGGATATTAGACTCTTGTCTACTTTGGACTTACAACTGAGCTGCTTCTCAAAGGCTGTTTAGAACAGAGGTTTTTTGCATTTTTCCAAGGCTGTAATTCAAATCTAAACCTGTCAGTCACGTATGGATATGCAGATGTTTAAAGGGGGATGGAAAATGGAAAGCCATTTTAAGGTGCAATGTTGTATGAGCACAATAAAGAATTACTGCTTTTGTTGGCCTTTTAATGTTTGTGGATTGGTTCAGCTAGAGATTAATTTCTAACATGAGAGTGCTCACGCCCCTTTAGTTTTGCACAACGCTCCTTCACAATTGTGCAAGTTTCAAGGGCTATTCAAGAAGGAAGTTCATTAAAAAGCCAGAAAACTGCAAAATAGAGCGGGGAGAGAGAGGACAAATAAGGCTGGCGTTATTACAGGATGGACTGCTGGAACTCGTCTCGGCAGCCAGTTCCTCCTCCTCCTCCGGGCATAACCACCTTCCCAAACTCTTGCTTCAGCGCTGGGAGGGTCGTGGGAAGCATTAACCGCGAGCCGAACTGGCTGGGGCAGCCCTGCTGCTTTGATTGGCGGGAAGTTTCGTCGGCGCTCTTCGATGAGCCACTTCACCCCCTGGGAAGTTCAGGGCAATTCGCTCCGTCTGGGGACAGAGCTGCGCTGGGGACCGCGCTGTCGGACAAGCCTCCCCTCCGCTTCCTCCTCCTCCTCCTCCTCGAGGCTCGGCGCAGCGCCGCCAGGGGGCACTTGGGCTCCGCGGGGCTGAGACGGCGCCTTCTTTTCCTTTCGCTTTCGCGCGGAACTCGCTTTTGTGCGCCTGGTCCGGTCTTTCGCGGCCATGGAGAACGGAGGGCAGGTCTACGAAGAAACCACCGTCCCCGCCGAAGAGGGCAAGGCGCCCTGCTGGGGTCACCTGACCACCAGACACTTAGGCAAGTGGCGACTGTGCCTCAAGATTTCGCAGCTGGTGAGTTGGGGTTTGCGAGCGGGCGGGGGAGGGAGGGAGGGAGGAAGGAAACGAACGAGCAGGTGGCGCCGCTGGGCCCTCGTTTGGTGCCGCCTTCTCTCCCCTGTGTTTACCTTTCCTTCGCTCTCAGTGGCGCGCAGACGAGGAGGACTTCGGCAGAGAGTGAGGGATGTTGTGCCTTTTGAGCTCCATTAATCTGGACTCACTCTCTCACTACCGGGGTGTACATGGAGGACCCGGGAGGGAAGGGGGCTACTTACCCTTTCGGTATCTCAGCGAGTATCTAAAATGTGGACAGTAAACCTGTAAATTTGCGAACTCTTGTCCGCCCGCTTCCGGGTGGCTTTCTCCTGAGGAAGTGCCTTGCATTCTGGACTGGTTTTGCTGTCGCTGTCCTTGCACGTCTGAAGCCGCCCTTCGTGTGGCTTATCTGGGGCTGTTTCACATCATTCTGGGAAGCTGCGCTAACCTGTTGGTTCGTCCTAATCGCTGTCCATTGTAGGAGCGGTCGCAGCTTGGTAGAGTTTTAGAGAGGGTTGCTCCTCGGCTCGGGCAGTTTCTGCATGGAAGGCAGGAGCTCGACTACTGAGATGCAGCCTTTCCCCTGGAGGCCAGAAGAGCTGGTAACCTTCCCGCCGGAGCGGCGATGAGGTTGGGGGTGATGGATATTGTGATCCAATATAGCTGGGGCCCTTTAGTTGGTATTAGATATTAGCCTTGAAGGTTGGTGTGTGTGAGTTTAGTAGAAACCCCAAATCCACCAAAGTGAGGTACAAAAGGGCATATATTTAAGACTGAAGAATGTTGAGCCCAGAATATATGTTGAATAAGTGAGATAAGCAGAGGTTCCAGATCTGGCACTTACAATCTGATTCCTGATTACCTCCCCCTTGCATTATACATTTCAACAACCTAAATTAAGCACAGGAAGAATCATTTTGTTTCAGCTTTCATTGATCAATTGGATATTTAAAATCCCTGCAAATCACTCATAGTTCTACCAGTAGATCCAGCTTTATTCTCTCATCCTTCCTGCTTTACTGCGTGGCTAAGCCTTTTGCAACAAGACCTGCGCTCAAGAATGTTGCTAGGAAGGTGTTTTCTTCATAATCCCAAAAGGCCTTCATTGTTTAGTCAAGTGTTGGTTATATCTGTGTATTTCTTTTGATGTATTCAGTTTAAAGGAGATATGTTTGTACCTATTTCTTAAATTAAAAAATAGCAATTACCAGGCACACTAAAGTTTGGAAAACTGAAAGGCAAGTCAGACACACACACACGCAATTACTTAAGTAATTAAGTAATATTACTTAAATGTTGGAGTCCACGTTAGCAAAGAGTTTTTGGGTTTTTGGACAAGTTGTAATAGGATGCTGGGTGTTGGACGCAGCTTAGCATAGTCTAAATGTAGCCAATATGATATAGATGATCTCTCTGTTAATTCAGTCCAGTGTCACAAGGGTAGAACAATACGAGCAGACCCTTTATGTTTGAATTTGTTTTCACTGTCAAGACTTTTATAAGTTATTAGCAATTACTAACACTGTACAGTAATATTTTCAGAGAAAATTTTTAAGGCTCAAATGCAGTGTACTAGCACTATAAGCCCAAATAGTTGTTTCATAAAAGTAAGTGTCCTTCACATTGAGTTCAACTTCTGGTAACATCATGGATACAGCTGTGTAGTGTTCTTGACAATCACATGGAAGTGGTTTTCCATTGCCTTTTCTTGGTTTTTTTTTTTTAACTTTTGATACCAGTTGAGTAATAGATTACAATAAAGTTAAATAAACCAGCATAGTATTATGCAATATAATTGCTATTTTGAGGAAGTAGGAGGATGGATATAATTTCTGAAGTGTTTAAACACACAATAGATGGAAGCGGTTAGTCATAGAGTAGTGGTTATATATTGGAAATGAAGCAGGGAGATCTAGATTCAAGTTCCCACTTGATTCCAAGCTCCCTGATGGACTTTGGACCAATCAATTTATTGGCTGCAGGGATAACCTGAGTGCAGTGGCTGCCCTGTGTGCTGCCTTGAACTTTCAAAAGAAAAAGCATGATCATAGTGCAGTAATAAATTGTTGAAAGAAAAGTAATGTATTCAGTAATGTAAAAGTAATGTATCCAGGTGGATATTCTTAGTGCAAGCCCTGGCAATTTAATCATAAATACAAAGTATATATCTTTGAACACAAGGTATAAGGATAAACCTCCTTTGTTTCTTTTTTCATTATATAAATGTATCAGGTAATGTGGCCATAGTTTCTGTATATTATTTAACATACTGTTCCTGTATTTGCTTTTTGTAGTTCATGGCTCCATAATTAATTCTTTAACTTTGATATAAGGTGTTTCAAAGTCTGGTGGGAAGGTCACTTGTTAAAAAGCATTTCAATATCAAAACAGTGCTAGCAAGTGAACAAGCATATTGGCAGGATGTCACTCAAATGCCTCAAATTTTCCAGCCAGGAAATAGATTATGGAAATAATAACCCCTTGTTGGGAAGGAAGGGAATTCTTAATAGGAAAATAATTTAAGCCTGACTTGCAGTTCTCTGATTAAGCACATATAGGAAACTAAGCCTAAGCAAATAATCTTTTCACATAATGTATCTGGCTCAACACATTGCATGAGTTTTATCTGACTGGCTTAACATCTAAAATTTGTTTAGATAAAAAATGCAAGAGAGGAGCAATACTGTTTTGACCTTAAACTAGATATGCCCATGTGTGGCCCCCAGCCAGTATGGAATTCCCCTGTAATGCTGGCTTGTGATACAGTGACAGTGCAATTCTGGCTGTTATATACAGTGGCTCCTTGTAGAAAGGGGAACAACAAGATTGCTTTCTCTTTAAATAAATGCTCTCCATTATACCTTTTCTCTTGCATGATGTGTTCAACTCCTAAAAGAAGCATTAAAGGGGGAATATGTTTATGTATCATACAAACAAACAAAAACTTTATGCCTTAATATGGCCTGTGAAATTGGTAAATGTCAATTCATAGTTTGGTGTAAGGTTGCCTGCAATGCAGTTTTTTGTTCTCAATAATAGCTAGCATAATTGGCTGGCAACTCTCTTGTTCTTTGCAATTTGAGATTGTTCCTAGTTTGCCTCTCTAGGTGCAACAGAAATAAATATGTAGCAGTTTCCCAATAAGGTAATAGGTATGTATTTCAGTCTATTTTTAGCTAAGCAGTCTTTATTTAAATCTCATAGCAACCTTAAAATGTACATCTTATCTGCTTTGCTGCATAAATTTCATAGTGAAAATAACATGTACAATGAAGTAACCAAGCATGAGTAATAAACAGCAAGTCCAGTAAAATGTATCTTGAATAAGAGCATTAAATAAAGCCTTAATTCAAGTGTGGGAGAATGTTTCTTTCAGAAAGTTATGGTCAATAAATAGTTGCCAAACTTTTTTGAACCAATCCAAACTTTGGTATCTCAATTTCAGCTGCCAGTCTCCTGTGGAAGATATTGTTGGAAATTTCCAATATTTGGCATAGTCCGTTCTTGCCACAGAAATCGTATATAATGTTAATTCAGTAAATTTTATTGGCATAAGCTTTTGTGATATTTAACAAGAAAACAATTGGCTGGTAAGGAAAATGCAAGACTAAAATTCATTGTAACTTTAGATATATCACTTTCCAAAAGTTTTTAGAGCTTTTTCACATTGACACCTGAAATTATAATCAGGATAATTTAACAAAAAAACATTTTGTATCAATGCCCTGTAAACCTGCATTTTCAGGAAACTTGATATTGGTTTTCCATTGAAATCCCCCCTGCAGCATATCAGTATTTAAATCCACATTGTGCAACTTTTTTACTTGTTCAGTTTCAGAATCAAATTTTATCAGTAATTTATAAAGAAGTCCTAATGAATATCTAGACTGCTGCATCATAACATTTTTTAATTCTGTTAAAGCTCTGATATACTCCATGTTTCTGAATATTTTTACACACTACAGTACTAAACTATAAATACTGAAATCAGTAAGGAGCTTTGATCCACTCCTGAGTCATCTTTTAATAAGATTTTATATTGGTTTTATTTACCATCAAATTTTAAGATTGTAAGAGTTATGAAAGTTCCACTGATCAAACATTATCACGATCATCTTCAGAGAAATAAATATTTGATATCACAGCCAGTGGTGACTGTCCAGGACTAAATCTCCTCTTGAACTTTCCCCATATTTTTATTAAACTCTTTATAATTGCATATTCTGTTATTTTATCCCTTCTTTGCTTCAATCCTTAATAATTTATGTAGTCCAACTAGTAAATCTTCTCCTTCCATAGAGGCTATTCAGCCATAGGGAACCATTATCTGAAATCTATTAAGACATGTATGGTCTGAGTCCATACAAACATTTTCATAGCTGAGTGGAGATTTCAAATCTGGTTTTCTCACTCCTACTTTTTGGATTTTTAATCAGATTTTGACAACCTCTTCAGAACTCATCTCACAATTGCACATAATAACCCAACCCACCAATCCAATTTTTTGCTAAAATTCTCATGAAGTAATCAAATCTTGTGAGACTTTTATTATTTCATCCCCTAGTTCCCATAGGAGAATGCTACAATATTATATAATCTTTAAAGATTTGGGCCATTTTAATTTGTTTTTCATTTAAATTTGGGGATCTGTAAATGATATCTAGGGAAGTAAAAGATGCCTTGGCATCTGTATTGCCCATTCTGCTATAAACAATAGAGCTCTGCAGCACTTAGTGAATCAGGAAAAGTGCACAAGGGTGTGAATATAGCGACTGGCTGCTACTTCTTAAACCAGCCCTGCAGTCTTTGTAAAAGACACAGCTGCTTTAAAGAGTAGTCGGTAAGTGCTATGTTCAGACTCAAGCATACTCCAAAGCACCATTCCTGAAATAAACCTGAAGCATTGCAGAGTCCTGATAAGTACTGCACCATGCTGACTCTGTCATCCACTCACTTGGTGAATGTTAGGTTGTATCGCTTGTTCTCTGATACAGAGTTTTATATTTCCAGTTATTGTTGCAGAAGCTTTTCTTCAGTTTTAATTGTTTACTTCTCTTATGCCACCTAGAGTTGCTTCAGTTGCTGAGGTGGGTAATAAATTGACAAATAAAGAAACCTTTTGTTGCACTGACCTATTTTGCTGAACATTGTTTATTCCCATTTTGCATATCACCTTCAAATAATTTGTGTGTGTGCATGAAAGAGATAAGCAAACATAGTTAAGAAGTTTGCATTCTTTCTTTGCCCTTTATTCCAATAATGCCTACTGAAAGGAGAAGGTAATGGCTGTAGTTTGATAGTAATTGAAGGAATATGTGTAATTTAATAGATATATTTATAACTCAGTCATTCAAGCCTTGAGTTCAAATTTTGATGTAGTCTTGAACTGTCAATAAATATGTGCAAATTCCTCTGTTGAAGCCCAAGATCTAAAACAAAGTACTTCTTTAAAAGAGTATGTCTTCTAAGATAAGAAAGAAGGATTTGTTACTTATAGAATTGAATCATCCAATAAATGATCGAGTGGTTGATCATCTTTATTCTTTACCAACAGGTGCTATCCTTCATAACCTTTGTCCTTGAAGAAATTGTGACAAAGTGCAGCTCCTGTGTTGGACTTTACATCTTTGAGTTTGTCAGCTGCAGTGCCTTTCTTTTAAGCATCTTAATCCTGGTTGTATTCTGTACTTCTTTCTATGAAAAGGCTGGAGAAAAGAAGGTAGCACAGCTGGTAAAGAAAAGCATCTTTTCACTTTTGTAAAAAACTGGAGGCGTGAAATGTAGTCAACAGGAAAGAGTAAAGATTTCCCCCACCAAACAACCATCTTTCCTTCCATTCTTTTTATAACTTTATGACATCAAAGCTAGACTTACAGAATGATAGCATGTCTGTTTCATTTTTTTTTTTTATACAGTGCTGGTGGGTGGGGGATTTGTTGTTTGTCTCTCTGCTCACCTTATTTCACTTGCCAGTAGAAATGATACTCAGTGGAAAGTGGTCAAGAGGTAGGGAAGAGTAAGAAATTCTGGTCATTTAAATGAATGTTTTACTTTCAAAGCTACTGTGAGAAAGGGCCTACAATAATGACTTTGAGCTGGGGCAAATAATTGCATCTTATTTTGACTTTCCTATCTGTAACGTGTATGTTGGTGATTAATTTAAATTATAAAAATGTTATTTGAGTAATTAATACAGTGGGAATGAAGGATTAAAAAATGACATGTTTGATATTTTTTTTATTCATTTGTAGGATTTCATGGTTGTTATATCAGTAGGGTCAGTCTTTCTACTAGCTTCAATTATATTTTCTGCAACCAGTGACAAGACACCAATTGAAAATGCTGCAGTTGTGAGTACATGTCCATTTTATGCTCTTTACTTGCATTTTCTAACTTGTGTATTTTTTAATTAGAATCTTTATGGAGAGTTACTTTAAATTTTGAACCATGATCACCCAGGCCTGTGAAAAGTTGTGGAAAAGTCTCAGTATTACTACTGAAACCTTAAGATCCACTGAAAAATCTTGTGTGGCCTAACTTAAGAATTCATTAAAGGCAGTTGTTTTCCTTCAATACAGCTTCTACCCAAGGATGTTTTGTAATATTGGCCTACTTTTTGTGTCTTGTCCCTTTTTGTAGTCCTTTTATCTTCATTTGATGGTCATTGTTCTTTGTTCTTGCTCTCTGTACCTTTTCTGTTTCATAAAAAAAAAAATAAGGTTCAAAATATTTTTGTGCAAATTTGTTTTGGACTGGCTATTTTAAAGCTGAACCCAAATTACTTTAGAAAATCCTAAAGTCCATACTATAGAGCCAGTCTGGTATAGTGCTTAAGGCATCAGGCTAGAAACTGGGAGACCGTGATTTCTAGCCCGCCTTAGGCACAAAGCCAGCTGGGTGACCTTGGGCCAGTCACTCACTCTCAGCCCTAGGAAGTAGGCAATGGCAAACCATTTCTGAAATCTTACCAAGAAAACTGCAGAGACTAGTCCAGGCAGTTGCCAGGAGTCAAAAGCTGACATGAAGGCACCATAAAAAATAAAAAAATCCATATTGGAGCTTTTTGACACCATGGTCATTTCACAAGCTACTTGGAACCTGCATTGGCCCTTTGTATGGTCAGCTATGTGCAGCAAAGGCACTGCAGCATTTCTTCCATGCTGCAACTCTTGTAAGAAAGATGTTGAATGAGGTCAGTCACCTCAGCAAACCATCTTCCCGGCACAATTGCAGATTTTTTACCTATCTACCAGCTGTTTGATAGATTGCCAGGATTCTAATTTAAACAGGGAAGAAGGACAGGTGCTTCCATGTGGAGCAATTACCTTTTATAATTGCATGTCTTTCCCTTGCTTCAATTCATTGGTGTTGAGGTGGAAGGGCATAAAATAACTTCTGTGTTGTGAAATAGAGATTGGGGAGAGTGGCGCTTGTGTTGTTATGAGAGGAGAATATTTCTTCAGAACCTAATTCTCATCGCAGCATTCAGAATCACCACCACTTGGTATATATTCACAATACATATGCTTACGCCATCTGATTTTAGCACTTTAGCTACCTGTTTGTTTACAGTATGCACCAAACTAATGGAGGTGATCTATTATCTGTCTGTCTGTCACTAGGAGTTGAAAATGACTTCATGGCACATAATCAATGAATGCAGATGATGGTACTAAAAACTCAAAGAACAGGCATAAACTAGCCATGAAGTAACCTCAAATTATGATTTGAGCTATGATTATGCTACTCCTTTCCTCTTGATCATTTTTAAAATCTGTATTAATATTTATATTTGTTGTACTTTTAAAAGTTTTCCTTTTTTTCTTAACACTATTGTGCTCACTGATAGAGAATACAGCATCTAAACTAGTGTGAACATACCTTACTTTGTATAAAATTGGAACTATTAAAAAAAATCCCCACCTCATTTAAAACATAAATTTGCCCCCATATAATACAAAACAACTTGGTATGTACGGTAAGAAAATGGGAAATTCATTGGCCCTGCAGCAAGCAAAACTCTCTATAGGCCCTTTGCGGTGAAAACCAGTAAAGAAACCCAAACGAAAGAATGAAGCATGTTGATGCATCATAAAATGCATGTAAGGAAATGAAAAATAATTAGAGATTTTCCAGGAAAAAAGCTTCCTGAGTAACTCAAGGGGTATAAGAATTGCCTTGCAGCCAGAAGAGAAGAACAAGTCCGTATCTCAATGAATGGCATACATTTTTGTAAATGTACAGTATGTCATTAATATGGAGAGGAGACTTATCTATTCTCCAGAATTTCTGCTGTAACAGTCAGTGCTATATATGGCCTTGAAAGAAAGTTCTGGCCATAAGTCTTAAAGAGGAATAGAGGAGGATGATAGCAGTATAAAAACGAAACAAAAGGAAACCACTGGATGAACAATACTGTAATTTGATAAAACTTATTTATTGTCATTCATGTAGAATCGAGGTAGGCAGCTTCCCAGGACCAATGGCAGTGAAAAAACAAACCTGGAAAATCTCAGCCTATCTATTTTGACTCTCAGCACTGGGTAAAAAAAATAGAAAAAGGTTGGGCTTCAGCCAGGAAAATCTTGTTCACTCCCAACCTGGTGCTTTCCTCCCCTCTTGTTCCTGTAAGCTTTAATGAAGTTCTGATTTATCTCTCTCTTTTTCTAATTCCTTAAGTTGCCTGTTATCCATGGTCCAAAATTATTTTATTAGTCACAAATCATGAAATATACTTACGTTGTGTATAAGTATAATATATACTTCAGGGTTTTGCTGTTTCAAGTATGTATGTGTCTGCAAGCCAACATAAGGATATACATAGATAACTTTTTTTTAATTTAACAGGCATTTGGATACTTTGCAAGTATAGCATTCCTTGTGGATGCTGTCCTAATGATTAAGAAGCGGAGAGTCAAAAAAGAGAGACAGCCAGAAAGTACAACCAACCCATCAAATCCACCAGAAAATCAGCCATTAAATAATCAGCAGACCTAAGCTGTAAACCACAATGGCTTTTTACTACGTGCTGATCATAGTTGAAGAGATTCTGTCTTTTAAGGTGTGTCTAGATTATTAAATTTTATTTCAGTTTTGTACTTGCTCAGTCTCTGCACAATTCTTGTTCATCTACTGCATCATTTCTGAATGTGATCTTACCCCTTATTCCATGTTTTCAAATAGCACTGGATTCATACACTTGCACTCATTTTGCTTTTCATACATATACCAATAAATAAATGTGAAGCGGTCTGTTGAAGATAGAAATTTTGACTAGGCATTGTTAAATCCTCAAGTGTTGCTTCTCTCAGAACAGATGTACAGGTAATCCTCGACTTATGACCACAATTCTGATTGGAACTTCCATCGCTAAGCAATCCAGTCATTAAGTGAGTCGCACCCAATTTTACTACCTTTTTGCTGCAATAGTTAAGCACATCATGTGGGCATTAAGCAAGCCTGGCTTCCCCCATTGACTTTGCTTGTCGGAAGCCCCCTGGGAAGGTCACAGATGGTGATCATATGACCCCAGGACACTGCAAATGTCATAAATACATGCCAGTTGCCAAACGCTTGCATTTTGATCATGTGACCATGGGGGACACTGTGAAGGTCATAAGTATGAGGACTGGTTGTAAATCACTTTTTCAGTGCCTTCATAACTTCAAACGGTCGTTAAACGAATGGTCATAAGTTGAGGACTACCTGTAGAGGGTAGTGGATAACTGAAACAGTGGTTTGGCTTAGTAATTCAAATTCAAATTTAGATTTTTATTTTTTAGTAAGTCTAGCTGTGTGTACCTGTGGATGTTCCCACATTCTTTTTCCACTGAAGATTTTGTTATACCTTCTTAAATCACATCAGTCATCTTCAAATTTGAATAAATGCATGGGGTTTTATTGTCAATATTTTTAAAAATAAGGTTTTTATAATACAAATGGAACCTGCATCAAAACATTGTGGGGTATATCCTGTTCAGCATTGCAGAAACTCTATTCCATTCTACCTTCCCAACAGTTAGCATCCCATGTGTTCTGTACATGTTGTGTTGTTGCTGGGCTCTTGTCAGGGGAAGCATATTTTTGAAAAAAAATCCTTGTATACATTTGCAAATCTTGTGGCTCCCCCCAGTTCAGCAGAATGTGGGTGGATTAGGTGTTTTTGTCTACAGTAACCACCAACATTTGAAGAGGTGAGGTCAGTAATAGTACATTTAAAATAGCAAGTTAGATACTCTTCTCAGTGTGCATATTTAGAGGGTAGAATATTTTAGGACTCTGAAAAAGCCATTGAAAGATTTCAGATGTAAGAAAAATCAGCCTGCTAGAAAAAAAAGATTGAGAGACAAAAAATTAACTACAAAAAGAATTTAAATCTTTCAAGACTATCTAAAACTATAAAAGAAATTGCTATTGGTATATAAAAAATGCCAGTTGATTTTATAAAAAAGGAAATTTTTATTCCATTCAGTTTTTCATCATCTTTCTTTTATGTCATTTATATATACATTCTCTTTCTTCGGGTGAATGAAATCAGGACATTGCAGAATTTTGTCATGGAGCTTCTGATCAGAATTTCTTGTGAGTGGTTCTGAAAGCAATAAGTGGCCATGTTTCTTGGCATAACAACCTAGATTATTGTAAGGAATGCTGTTCCTGGGCCAAAAGAAACATGATTAAACTTGGTCATTGATGCTCAGAACCAAAAACTACAGTTGTATGTGGTATTGGAGAGAAATAGTATGGATAGCAGTAGTCTGCAGTAAAATATTCTTAAATATATTAGAATTGTTATTTTTTGCGAGTGGAAAAATCGGCGTGCATGAAGTGGATATTTAGGCAAAGCAAAATAGCTGTTACCTGATTTCCATGACAACCATTGAAGTAGTCAAAGCTGGAAAAGTGAAGCATCAAAGATGAAGAAGGGAAGCAGTTTCTATCCATACCTGTTCTAAAATGCAATAAATAAACTGTGATATATTTTGAGAATTTTGGATAGAAAGGGGTGGGATTTTTACAGATTATTTAACATATATAGTTGGGTATTAATATATTGGCATTGTTTTTATGTAAACCATTTCAGGGAAACAGCTTTATCTTTTATTTGCCAAATGTGTCCCAGGTGCGACTTTTTAATTTTTTTTCTGAAGTTTGTATTGCCAGAGTTACCTTAGAGGCTGAAATGCAAGAATGTGGTTACCCGGTATATTTTCAGATATGTTAGCTTTTAAACACTTAAGTCTGTTCATTACAGGTCTACAGATAATTTGGGAATGTTGGTAGGAAATTTCTTCTGTTGAGCATGTAGTAGGAAGCAGCTGCAATGCTGTACTCCTATTCTAGGCTTCAAAGTACAGGTAGTCCTCATTTAGTGACCACAGTTGGGACTGGCAATTTGGTTGTTAAGTGAAGCAGTTGCTAAGTGAAACCGCAACTCTGCTTATGATCTTACTTCAGCTTTCCTTTGCTTTACAGACCTCCGAAGGTCATAAATGTAGGTATTGGTCACAAAGTTACTTTTTCATCACTGTGTAACTGCAAACAGTTGCTAAACAAAGCAGTCGCTAAACAAGGACTACCTGTAAATTTTATTCTGCTGTTAGGATAAGCTTCAGTTAAAATATAAAATATGATACTAGGCCGAATCCATAGTCATAGTTTTTATATTTGGTTGAGTGATGTCACCTAATATTTCAATATAGAGTGCCTTGTTTATTAATTTCTCAGACAAGGAAACGTATTTGCTTATCTATTTAAATTTGTAAATATCCACTGGGCTGATTATGCATGGGGAGTAAGGACAACTTCTGAGTGACTCTTAGGGAAACTACAATAAAGTGAGAGCAAGTTGGCCATTTTCACTTTCAAGTGTTTTAGCATTTTCACATACTGTATAGACAGATGAATTTGTAAAATAAAATATAATTGCTGCAGACTATTTACATAAAGCTTAAATAATAATATGTAATGTTTATAAATTATTTAGTCATGCTGTTTTACTCCAAATTTAGAATTTTTATTCAATGTTGAGTTTGTTAACTTAACTACCTTGCAATTTACCTCGTTAAATAATCTTCTCAAATACAATGTCCTCTGGGTATCCTGGGATTACAGTTCCCAAAACTCTCAGCCATGATGGCTATTAATGGCTGGGAATTCTGAAAGTTGCATGCACAGTAATTTGGATTTCAACAACTTGAAGAAAGTTGTTCCAAAGAACTAAGATGCATTGGATCTACAGGAGTCTAGTAGGTCTTATTCCTGAGTTAACATGTTCAACTTTGCACTACCAGATGATTTACTGTATTGCTCTAAAAGTACTGTATATCAGACTTATTTCCAGAATAGTTAAAAAAACTGTTTTGAAATAAATTTGGAACTGTTGACATAGGAAATTGTCTAAAAATTCCTGGGGCACACAGAATTTGCTATGCTTTAGATTTTATTCACAGTTATAATTTTCTTAATTTCATCCATAATGTAAGGAACATTGAAGAATAAGCAAAAGAGATGATGAAAGATGCTATTTTATTTTATCTATCTGTGTCATACATATTTTAAAGTAGGGTACACGTGAATGTGTCTAGATTAATTTCTGGTAATTTATGATTGCTGTGTAGTTTTAAATATTTTTGAACTTAGGTATGTTTAACACTGTCTTCTCTTTAGAAATGTATAATGGAAAAACTAGTTCTTCCATAATTATATACTTTATAAAGCTACTTACAATTGGTATCCCTCATTCTATAGCATAACTAATCTTTTTTAGTATCTATTTTTATGCTCTTTTGGTTTCATTTGACCATTTTATAATTATACTTTGTTAAACATTGTAGAAATCATGTTGTTTTGAGTTATTTATTTCTGCTGTCACTAATTTGGTAGCTAAAACTCATTTATGCCTTTCCATAAAATTATGGAAAGAAACAATCTTATCCATCATTCTGAGGGAAGGCTGAACTTTTGACATAAGTGGTCTGCATCTGGAAGGACTTTTATCTTTTGGAGGCAGTTCAGTCTAAAATTGCAAACTGTTGACCTACCTGTAACAACCCTGCATTTTGGGGTTTTACCAAAGCTAAAGAAGTTGTCAGAAGTAAATAATTGTTATTGATTTCAAAGAGATAATTCTAGCAGCTTCTCTTGTTTTTGAGAAGAGGAGCCTAGGTAAACATTTTGTCCTGGTTATCTCTGTATATAATTTTCCTGTTGTAAAATATTGTGAGACCTTTACCTTAGCACAGAGTTCCTCAACCTTGGCAACTTGAAGATGTGTGGACTACAACTCCCAGAATTCCCCAGCCACACATCTTCAAGTCACCAAGGTTGAGGAACCCTGCCTTAGCATGTTGTAATACACTGCCTTAGTCCTCTTGGAAGATACCAAATACCCAGAGCAGCTTTGTCCCTGTCATTTGGGAGCATCGCAGTTATGGGTCATTTGTTGTTGTACTGCCATCCAATTCTAAATTTTATTTCTTCACACAGACCGTAACAATGATGTCATTTTTAAAGTTGCCAAATTCTGTTTCAGGGCTTGTATTGGTAGGAAACAGATAGGGAAATGAGACTATTATTCAACCTGGCTAGAAACAAAGGATATAATTTGACAACTTAATTTTATGTCATTTTATACCATCTTATTTTATACTATGTTTTCTTTTACACTTTTGCAAAGTAGTTTTATAATGTTGTGATAGGTTTTAGCATTGTAGTACTTGTATTTTATTGCTCCATTTTATTTTTATTTTTTTCTTCCTAATTAGAATTTTTTATGTATTTCTATTCAAGTTCTGTAAATTGCATTACCTATCTGTGCTTTTCTGGTCAGTGACTTTAATAAAGATATTTTGTTTTAATATAAGTTGGGGGAAAGCTAACTACATTTTACACTATGGAACCTGGAACAGAGGCCGTGTCTTACTGAATGGATGAAACAGTTCTTGACACAGTGAAAATAACATGGCAATAATTGTTTTTATATATTAAACTATTCCTTCAAAGTTGTTACTGTAAGGTTAAAAATGTTTGGGTTTTTTTCTAATGAAATTAAGTAAAAGGCAGAGAGCTTTGCAGAAGCAGCTTGTCATTCAGACTT